CCTGAGATAATTTCTGTTATGAATTGGCCCTATACAAATAAAACTGAATTGAATAACTTCTGTTATGATGTTATACAAATTAAATTATAATAAATGTATCCATATGGTCCAAAACAAAAAACAACATGTAAATATCGTTAAATTATTATGTGAAAGGAGCTGATTTCACTGACAGATATACGATCTAATAATAATAAAAGTGTTTCTTTTGGCTTTACCGCCCTTTAAAAAACTAACATCAAAGACCAATTCGCCTTAAAATAAAGATGAATTTCCCAACCCCGACTGTGGTGACGTGAACTGACACCTGCAGGGTGAGAAATCCAATCTAAAGCCGATGACGTGATTGAAGAACAGTTGGCAGTCGTGTAAATTACGTGCTATTTGTAGTTTTGCTGCAACGGTGGGAAAAAAAACAAACATAAAAAGATAAAATGAGTATGAATATATAACAGCATGTTTTCACACACTGAGGCGGCTCTTTGCCTTCATCCACCGCCGTCACACACAGCAATGTGACTGACTGACCCACTTTACGTTCTTTTCAGGCACACAGATTGCAAAAAAATGGCAGTGGGGCAAGAAGGCATCACGCCATGGTGGTCAGAAAAACCTCAGCATTACCTCCCTCCAGCTAAAATCTGTATTCAACAAAGATTTATATATATATATATATATATTTTAAAAGCAGTGGAGTGGAAATGGTGTGAGTTAAGCAGTGTGTAGTAGTGTGTGTGTATGTGTGTGTGTGTGTGTGTGATGGATCGGGGTGGTTCAAATTAAAAGTTTACACCACGGGGCGATATCACATGATATTATATGTGTGTGTGTGTTTATCCCCCTCTCCATTTCTTGATAAATTGCTCTCTCTCTCTCCTGGAAATCCACTCAGACTAAATTACTCTGCTCCCCCATTAAGTTTGTCCACAGCCTGACTCACAGTCTAATATATTAACACCACCGGAAAGTTCTTTAGCCTTCTTCTTCCTCTTCTGGTGGCGTGTTTACTCACTCTGTGGTGCTTTGTGTTTAAGTTAATGAGGGATTCCCCGTATGTATGGCAGGGAGGAGTCTGGTGATCTTTGCATTTATCTTCTTGTTATATAGTTTCTGCCCACGTTGTGTTCAGATCTCAGTGTGCAAATTATAGATAGATGGAGCTGGTGGTCGCTAAGGGGTCGTGTGGCCTTCTTAAGTGTAAGAAAACATAAACAATATACACAGTAGGTCGAAATCTGTGAAGAAAACTTGCTCTCAGTGAACAGCAGGCTCAGACCTGGAGTGAACGCAGCATCTAATGCCGACAGAGGACAGTTTGACCACAGTAAATAAAGTACTGAGGTGTTTTTGGCTTAGAGGGAAAACCAGACAATATTCTCTCCATAAAATATGATTTTCACCCAAATCACTGATAAAGTTGTGTGTTTGTACAGTAATCAGTGAGCTCCGCTAGCTACTGAATCTTCGCTCTGTGTCGCTAAAAGTTTAAGTTGATTGACGGGTGAATGTCGTGATATTATTGGTTGAAATCAGTAAGTTCATGCTGACGTAACCATGCGTCACATTTTGCATTGAAATGATTGGATTTTGATATAAAAAAAACAAAGAAATTACGTTTTTTGTGACATTTATTTATTTATTTTTGTGACATATTCCACATTTACAATATGTATGAAGGTGTTAGCAGCCGACTCCGGGTTGGAAATCAAACACTTTCCCCCTCGTCCGTGTTATAAAATCTCTGGCAGCTTTGAGCCGAGAAGCTGCTCCTGACTGTTAGCAAGTTTATCCCTCACCTCTATTGTTTGTGTGTGTGCAACTGTGCATATATAGATATATGTGTGTGTGTGTTCGGGGAAGAGTACCAGGGGGATGGAAGTGCAGCAGTCTCCGCAGAGAGCCATAATGTCACAGTGAGCAGTGGGCTAATGAATAGGAGTCACCCCCGGCCGGAGGCGAAGTTAATGAACTCCTGCTAGCCGGGATAATTAATGCCAGACTGCTACCCGGTTGGACGAAAAAACACTCGCCTTTTCCCCTCTTTCTCCCTCCTTTCCTCTCCATCTTGCTGCCTTTTCCTCATTCACTCATTTAGTTTTCTGCTGGCGCCAGAGGTGAGTTCTGGTGAAATGTACGACTCGGGACGGGAGGGAGCGATTCCTCGTAGATGCAAATAATCAGAGGCAACGTGGAGTCTTCAGGTCAAAGATAGAGTACAAGGAGGAGGGGAGATTTGGGAGGTTTATACTGTAAAGGGGGGAGGAGAGAGGTTGGGGATATGCTCTTTCTTTCTCCTTCTTCTTTCCATTTCCAGAAAATAATGAGGAGAGTAAAACTGCTTGCAGCCAGGCCGTTACGACGTACCGCTCTGCCCCTGTGGAAACCCAGCGGGCTCTCAGAGGCAGATTGTTTTAAAGGAAATATTGCAAGAACATTTTGCTTCGTCCGGCTAAATCAACGTTTAATTGGTCAAAAAAAACAAAAACAGACAGAACCGCGGGGATGGCCTCCAGGTTAGACCAATATTTACAAAACAGTCCGTTCATATTGGGGTTAAGTTAGCTTGTTTTTCTTTGCTGAAGAACCCAACTGTGAACCCACAAACAGCAATCATCTGTATTACTGTACTTTAGAATTACAGCATATTTCTGTATTTCCAATCGGATCCCAAGGGAAATCTGATCACCTGATCAATCTACTTTATCTTTATCTGAGAGCGTACCCCTGATTCTACTTGAATTTTACAAAAAGAAATGATTTTAGAAATGTTATGATTCAATAACTTTATTTGTGCTCTATAAATAAAGATTATTATTATTAATACTAAAAATAAAATAACAGTTCATTACTGTATTCTTGTACATGTAAAATAAACAGTTTAGTCAGTAAATTACTGCATATTTACAGTTTGTTTTAGCCTGTTTTTAAAGCATGTTACTGCAATAATAATAAGAAAATTAGAAATTCAAACGGCTAATATTCCTAATGCAGTTCCTTTTCAAATATTTATTGAAATTGTTTTATTTCACATACAACACAAGCAAAACTGGACCTGAATAAAGTAAACCTGTTTGGTTCTTTGCTCCTCTTTCATACAATTTATAATTTAAAGCACCAGTGTTTATAGACACTAATTAAACTAAACTAATACTGTAAGAAACTGTAAACGTTAATTACAGTAAATGTACAGTAACAGCTCTTACAGTGTATATCTGACCTGTCATCTCACAGTACACCTCCGCTCTGACATACGACGGCGTGATGGTGATGGCGGAGGCTTTCAGGAACCTCCGCAGGCAGAAGGTCGATATTTCCAGACGGGGGAATGCCGGCGACTGTCTCGCCAACCCCGCCGCCCCGTGGAACCAGGGCATCGACATGGAACGCACCCTCAAACAGGTGAGGAAGAGGTCGGGGGTTCGGTGTGAGTACAGAGGTTTTGTTTTGATCTGTTGATCACACTTTCAGGGTTCCCACGCATCCTGGAAAACCTGGAAATCTAGTTTTCCAGTCATGGAAACACCTGAAAATGTATTAAAATGACCAAATATCCTGGAAACGAATCTATGTCTTCCTGGAACATTTTACTTTACTATTTTACCCCCCTCACTCAGATTACGTGAACCTGGGTGCGTATTTAGTCTAAAACCCGACTGTTGGAAGGATAATCTGCGGTAGACAGACAACATACAAATGTGAAGCCTGTTATTACTGATTAAATTATACTTTCTACTAATTCTTTTAATTGGCTAATAGGTGAGAAGATTCATTTTCTGATTTGTTATTTAAAGGCTGAATTAATGTTACAGTTTAAAAGAAAAAACTGTGGTCAATCTGCACCAGAAAACAGCCAAGCGTGCAAACAAAACCAAGCTATTATTAAGTGCTGTCTTGTATTGTCAAGAAAAAACCTGGAAAATGTCTTGGAAAAGTCCTGGAAAATGATTTCTTAAAGAGAGTGTGGCACCCCATCTTTGTTTGGTGCTATCGTGGCTAACTGGGAACCCAAATTGTTGGATTATAACAAACTTCTCTGGTAGAAAATGAACCTAAATTACCTTCAACCTTTTCTGTGGAGTAAATAAATTAACCTATTTCCAGCTGTAACCTCATTGTGTGTGTTTGTATGTGTTTTTCCTGTGTGTGTGTGTGTGTGTGTAGGTCCGGTTGCAGGGATTAACAGGTAATGTCCAGTTTGACCACTATGGCCGCAGGGTCAACTACACTATGGACGTGTTTGAACTGAAGAATAATGGACCGAGACGGGTAAAACATCACACATCACCATTTTCTTGCTTTCATTTGTGTTCATGGATGAATATTTCTGTCTGAGTCAAGTCGCTAATGTCGTATATTTTAGTATTGAAGCGAGAATGTAAAGTTTTTTTCTATTTTCATCGAGTATAAAAAAGGTTTTCTGCTTCTACTACGAGAGGATGGATGTTGAGGAAACTCAGAGAAAATGGAGGGAAAAGAGAGCGAAAGCACTTGTGAGAGTGATGGCGAGAGGATGAAATGAAATAGAGAGCAATCAAGGTAAAGGGGAGGAGTGGAGGCAGCAGCGGCGGGAGGGAGGGAGGGACCGGCGGGAAGGGAGGGAGGGGAGGTAGTCAGGAAGCAGAGAGGAGTTCATCAATCCAAAACCTGGCTTGGGGCCTGTCTTCCTGGAGCAGCAGCGAGGGTCCTGTCAGGACACGGTGTGTGGTGGTGTGTGTGTGTGTGTGTGTGTGTGTGTGCTTACATTTTCATCTGATGCCCCAGCACACAGGAGGTATCAGCCAATCACAGTTCTTCGTTCCCCTCTGGCTTCCCACCAGCGGCGTCCAACCAGCAGCCAGCTGGCGAGCTCAGCGTCTGCACACTCTCTCTCTCTCTCTCTCTCTGTGTGACTTATAGCTGCTTATGGTTGCTGTTAAAGTTCTCGTCTGTTATAAGATCAATACGTCACAGTATTAAAATAACGTATCGGCCAATCAGCGCGATGCTAATGTTGCAATCACAACACATCGTATCTGTCGGTTTGACCCCGAAGGACGACGCCGACTGAACATTTTGAAAGAAAGAAGCAGCTAAACATCGATCTTGAAACTGGAATCTGAAGCAATAATTCAATCAATATAGTCAATCAACTTCAATATAGAAGTGATGTTGGTTTGATTCATGTACAGTTAATAATATTTTATTGACTAAATTAATGAATAAGTTGCAAATTTGTTGTTTTCAAAATGTTTTTCTTTTTTACTTAATTCTCATAAAAATAGTTCTAATCTTAGAAAAAATTACAACTTTGACATAGAAGTTCAGTCTTGACTTTGAAAACATTATAATCTAATCTCCATTTGATTTTTGATTTTTTGTCAGCTTTGCCCAGTTTGGTTGTAAACTAAATATTTTGTCATTATTGAGAGAGATTTTTATCATCACAAAAAGTTTAATTATAGTTTCTACATGTTAGTGAGTAATGATTTACAATGACTAATTAAAAGACAGTAAAGACTATAAATGACATTAAAAGTAAAATCTTCCAAGCTCGGTACAAACAGCCGCGGCTGCCTGTCCGTGCTGGTGCGCCTTACCCCCCTGTCCCCCCTTTCCCCCCTTTCCCCAACCCCGGGCAAGTTGTTTTTCTTTATGTTGTAAATGGTGTTACATGTGGGCTTATGTTGGCTGAGGTTTTTTCCCGGTCCCCCCCAACACTTGTAACCTCCCCTATAAGGAGCCAGAGTCCTGGGAACTGCTTTTTTTTCTCTCTCTCCTTCTCCTCCTGTTCCTGCCCCCTTCCTCCCCTCCCCCACTCACACCTCAAAGTAATCTCGTTGTACTTGTGACAATGACAATAAAGGCTATTCATTCAACTAGAGGAACTTGCAACAATAGCCAGTCTTTACGCCGTCTTTGATAAACCCATTTCCTCCAATTATTGTCATTATAAATGAGTTTTCTGAAAGCATTTCACACTGTTGGACTGTTTCACAAGTAGCTAAAACCAAGCGTTGTATGTAAAGCTTTGCATTTGAGCCAGAAAAGATGAAAAGATGTGTCATTCCTCCTTGTTGTTTCGGCAGTGACGTACAATTCCGATGAGCAAAATGCTTCCATAAGTTATCCAAGCAACATTAGCATGTACGCACAAACACAATACACCAGCTCATATTTTGTTTTTCCTGCAGATCGGCTACTGGAACGACGCAGACAAACTGGTCCTGATCCAGGACTCTCCGCTGCTTCCAAATGACACTTCTGGCATTGAGAACCGCACTGTTGTAGTCACTACCATCATGGTAAGAGACCGGCATGTGCTCGCCAAACACACACACACACACTCACACACACATATTCTTAGACTCTATTATCTCGTGCTGCTCACATTGAACATAATACGTGAGGGATATGCAGAGTCAGGAGGTTCAGTGGCTACACGTCATACCTCCGACATCAAAAACCTGCATTCACAGCAACCCCCCTGGTTATCCTGCACCACCTTGTATTCCTGCGTAATTCTTCCCTGTTTGATGTTTGAGGTTTGAGGTGTTTTATCATTTGTGCAGACATAATGTAGAAAATGTGCAGAATCAACACTTAGAGTTTGACTTTATCTACAAAAAAACCCAAACATTATCAGTAGTAAAAAAGTAAGAGCTTCTCTGCCAATTTTGCACAGACACTCAACATCCTCATTGGGAGAAATCCATCATAAAAGAGGGTAGAGATGCCAATTATCCACCAGTAGTGGCCTTAGTAGACCAGAAAACAGGAGTGGCAACAACATTTGTGATGTGACAAAATAATCTCCAAAAAAGTCCACATTTCCAGCTCACATAAGTCCTTTAAAACTGATTAGATATTAGGAATTATAGTAAAAATATAATGTGGACTGGTAAAGTTTGCAAGGATTCATATTCCCATGCAGATTTCACCTTGTGTACAGTTCAGGGACCACACACATGCTTTGTTACACCAGTGCAGCATTGTCAGTGAAGAGACTCTTGAAGGAAGGGGCTTTTTCTTTTTTATTACTCCAATAAACCATCATACAACTCCAGAATCAACTACCGTCACTTAGATTTCCTTTTATTGTACCAATAAACATTTCAAAAAGCAGTCAAACAAGCTGCCGCCACTGAGCTTTTTGTTCTTATTGCACAGATAAAAAAAAAAAAACGAGTTAATAAAAGACTCCCATACAGCTACAGAAATCAATCAAAGCATTTTTTTTCTTTACACATGATTGAAATGAATGGCCTTTGCATGGCATGTGAATCTCTGGCTGTAGCGGTGACTCTCGGCTGGAGTAAATAAAAAACCAGATGTTGAGCGTACATGTGGCAGGCTGAGTGGAAAGGAGGTTGGGAATGGAGAGTCACAGCTCAGCACAATCCTCCCTCTTTTCAGCCCCTGATGAGGAACCCCATTTTAAGAAACTGAGCCCCCAGTTGGATGCAAGCAGGATATGAAAAAGTCCTTAATGGCAGAGTGATGGACACAACAACCCGAGCCAAAATGAAGCCCTAAAGACTCTGGGCGAGAGGAGAGACACGGCAAACCTATGTTAATGGACACCCCCCCCCCTCCCTTCCTGTTCAGAAAACTGAACAAGAAATGGAGCCACTCAGAGCCGTAATGGAGCCCCTCGAGAGGAAAATGAAATGCAAATGGAGGGGAAAAAGACAGTCTCTTTTAAGGATGGTGCTTGTTGGATGGACACCCATTGAGGCCTAAAACAAATGGCACAGTGTCTGTTTACTAGCATAAACAAGCTCCCACTGCACCTGTTGTGTGTGTGTGTGTGTGTGTTAGATTCATACATTGTCATGCCCGGTGTGTTTGTGTGGCCAATCACAACTTGAATCCTATCCTGTTTTTGGGGGGATTTTGTAAAATTTCTTTCTGCCAAGGACCCAGAGCTGTAACGTGAGGCGGTGCCAGAGTGTGAATATACATTTATGTCTAACTGAATTCCTGTTTGCTCTCTTTTTCTCCGACTACCTGCTCCGCCGTACAGTATATTACACACTCTGAGGGCTTCCTGTAAGCTTTAAAACAGCTTAGAAAGACTAATGTTCCCATAATCATCCCAGTTCATATCCATCACGCTTTTATGCAGCATGATATTATAGTTAAAGTTGTGACTGCTGCCTTTCACTCCCACTTTTAATGTTCGTGAGCATAATGTTTGTTTAGCATAAACTTAATGAAGTGTCTCAGTGTTATATTACATCACAGCTGCCTCCGTGTCTTACAGACTTGTTATATAGGAGCGGGTTTTAGTTGCCCTCTGGTTCCAGTGTCTTGTTGCTGTATGCACAATTATTCCAACTGACTGATTTAAAAGGCAAATAGTTGCTCTTTTCCACTGCAAAAACATATCTGGAGCTTCTCTTAAGTTGAACTTTAAAGAGGGACTCCACACTTCGGCTGTAAACTAAATTATATGACTGTAATGTGATGAAACACATCAATGCTAATTTATGAAAAATTTGCATTTCGATGTTACGACCCAGCTCATAAAAGGAAAAGTAAGCAACAAAAAACAAGGAGGTCAGAATTCTTACAAACAAAAATAGGAACAAGAAAAGGAAAAGGGCTGGTTGGTGCTGCTCAAATCAAAGGAGTAAATATAATCAAAAGAGGACTATAACTATAATGAACTGAGGGTTAAATGGGGGCTCGTCCGGGTTGAAAATGACTAAACACGGCATCTACTGTTCCTTGCAAGGCCATTGCTGACATAGAGTCGACCAATTGGGACTACTTTACGTTGTGATATAGATATAAAAAAGAGCTTCCTTCTAATCAGATGAGGGTTTATGTTTTCTATTCTGGCACAGTGGTTCGGACTTGTGCTTTAGACGGCTGTAGAAACACCAGACTGCAGTCTTTATCTTGAAGCCACACACTGACAATCCCCCCCTAAGACACATACATACCGGAGAGTAAGGTAGCTTAGCTACAACCCAGGTACCATACAGAAACTTTTCAGAACGGCTGTGAATGTGCTTCTAGTGACTTTCTAGTGGTTTTGAGGCCACGTCTGCTAAAGTGTCTGTCGTTTGGTCTCTGATGTTCTGATTTTTTATATTTGCTGAGAGGGAGCGAGCTAGCAGAATAAGTGTAGTTAAATTTTAAAGAACCTTGTGAGGCTCGTACTAAAACAACAACAAAATAAGAAGTGACAATGATATTATTATTGACTTTCTTTCATGGTAACATGAATTCAGACAGAGAATCCAGCGCACAACCAGGGCTGGGATGTTGGTTTCCCAGAATGGTGTTGCCTTTACTGTCTAACTACAGGCTCGTACCCGCACTTATCGGAGCCAATCCGACTAAACCCACCTGGTCCTGCCAAATTTGAGACCCAAACTCAAGACCCAAGGCTATATTTTTGTTATTTTATCTTCAAAGACAAAGTTATGTGCTTGGGTTGGAAAGGTTTTCTAACAGATAAAAAATAACTAATTTGAAAACAGCAATAAACCAACGCACAGTTGTCACAATAGCTACTGCTTATTGTTAGCATTTTTAAAATGTGGCATGGCTAGCAGCAGGTTAGCTATATAATTATGTTTTGACTAGTACTAAAGTTAAGACTATGACCCTGCTAATGATTTTCTTTCGTCTGTAGGATTTAGGGACATAAAGCTATTATTTGATTTTGGCTTAAGGCTTTAACTGACCTCTGTGACGTCTCAGGCCGTAGCTGTCTGGAGGTTGGTGCATTAACAGCGAAGCTCCCGTAGACAAGGACAATCCTCTTATTGGCAATGTGAGGCTGAAAGCTTTGATAAAGTGTGTCTTGGCTCTGAACTCCCCCATTGCACTTTAATTCTGGCACACTCACATCAATCTGCCAGAGGGGCAAGAAGTACGGACAGGGTCCGGCTATAATTATGGTTTTGTTGTAGGTCTTGTTAAAGGGATTCTTGGGGAAGGACGACGTGTTTGGAGTTTGTGTATAGAGACTGTTTTGATATCCAAATTTTTTCCTACTATATGTAGCATTGGGCCTCATTAAAGAACCTAAAAAAGATTTGTTCTTAAAGCAGAAACAAGGAACTTTCATTTTGTGTTGATTCTGGTTCCCCCTGTGGATAAAAGCGGTAGTGTTACCACCACCTTGTTTCATTAATTTCAAGGGGAATCTGACCGATGAACTTTATGCTGTTAATTTAATTATTTAAATAGAATTTACAGTTTATATAATGGACACAGCTTCTTAAACCTGCATGGTTGCATTATGGTGGTGACATGACAGTTTGTCGGAGCCAGCGGAGGTCACGTAAAGCGAGTTGAGCTGCTCTCATTGGCTGTATAGTTTCGACTTGTCACAGGAAACAATAGCGGCTCGCCTGCTCACACATGATCTCATATTATAGCTAAACAGTTAAAATATGTTTCTGAAAGGATTTTAGGAGAGAAATAGTCAACGCCAGGTAACCAAGAATTCTGATCCATATCTGATCAGCACTGCGCCTGTTTGACAGTTTGATCTGAGTTTGGTGCGTTTAGCTGGACGGACTCACTGAGAATGAGCTGTCAATCACAAGGTAGCCCCGCCCTAAAGCTTACCCTGCTATTTTACTCTAAATGGGACCATAATTTACTAAATTAACATCATGATATATGGAAGAAGACTTGAAACTAGAGATTGAGACCATGAAACTCATTAGGAAACTGTTTACTGCAGCTCATAAAGGAAGGTAAGGAAGTCAGCTCATTTCTCCATTAGACTGCGTTTATTGCAGCAAGTGGATCTCCCCCCTGCTGGGGCTTTACAGAGAATGCAGGTTTAAGACACTTCTGTGTTGGCTTCACTTCACAGATTAAGAAGCTCTGTTCATTATATAAACTGTCAATGGGTGGAAGGCTCTCATTTGGGCCCCTGCAGGGTCTATAAACTTGATAGACATTGTCTCCTTTGCCTTTCATACAACCACTCACACTGCTAAATAAGTTATGTTGAGGACTTAATGCACCAAGCACTTCTTGTTACTCTCGGGTAACGTTTTTATGAATAAAAATTGCCTACAAATGGAACAGAACAGGTAGCTGTATATAGCAATTTGTTACAATTGAGTTTAACTATGTGCCGATAATTAAATTTAAAAGTTTAAATTAACAATTTACCCCCAAAAAAGGAGAGTTTGTTAAATCCAGGTAGAATAAGTAATATGAATATGTTCTTACATGAGGCCCACTGAATGTTAGCAAAAAAGGATATTACATAAAAAAAGAGACAAAACTTCAAATTAATTGAGTGATTTACACATCAGCTTTACAGTTTCAGCTTTACTTGTATTAATTTTTTATCGCAGCAAGCAGAGACTGCTGCAAGAGTGCAGGTCGTCCAGGAGGTCGAGGCTCAGCTCGAACAATACCCGGCATTCATTAAAGCACCAAGGTGATCTGAAACGCTTGTCAAGGCCGTGACTGCATCAACCAGCCAAGTGCACTAAGAAAAGGCTGAAATACTTTTTCTTATTTGTGTTTTCAATGAGCATTAAATCAAATAAAAATGTAATTAGTGCCTCAAGTGGCTCCTTTTTCTTTAGCCAGCAATGAGTCGTTTACTGAGAAGCATTTTCTGTGTTTGCTTAAGTTAGTAAGCAAACAAGTAAGTGAAGTTATTGAACAGTACGAACCATCGTTTTGCTGATTATTACTGAACAGAACAAAACACTCGCAGGTTTTAGTCAGTCTAACAATCCTGACGTGTGTCTGTTTTGTGTGCTGTACGTATGGATTTGTGGCGCCAAGTGGACCTTGTAGTGTGTGTGTGTGTGCTTTTAATGGCATGTTAATTAGTCTCATTAGGCCCGTGAGTGAAGCAGTGTGTTTGGGATTATTGACCAGTCTGTCAGCCATGCCGCCCTCTGAAGCACTGCTCTCTTCTCATGCCAGAAACACTGACTGCATCCTTTATCTATGCCACTCCCTGTGCTCCTGTGGCTGCCAGCGCTGTCATTCGCCCTGCTATCATCAATCATATGGATTAGGGATGTTCCCCCCACCCCTCCCACCCTCAAATATCTGCAAAGAACAACTTGTAAATTGAGCATTCATCATTAAAATGGTCGAGATTCAACAAAAAGCTTATCGTGAATTCAATTTTTCAGCAATGACTTAGAGAATTGTCTGCAGAACAAAATATGACTTTGCTTGAAATGTTGTTAAAATGATATTTAAAGCCATCATGTGTAGATGTTTTTATCCTGATGGTCTGTGTTTTGTTATTTTTGCATTTGTTTTCTGACTGATTTTTCCCCGTATTGGATCTATGGGGTCCGTCAGCCACTGGAGGCGCCACAGTCATAACAAATCACACACTAGAGGCGCTTTCAAAGTTGTAATCTCTGAGATTTAGGTCCTGTTTGATTTGGAGACAGTCATGGTTAAAAGTATTGAAATTGAGCCATAAATATAAAAAATTATGATTAAAAACTACTATGTAGTAGGAATGAGCAAGTACACCATTACCTGTATCAGAGTTTAACCAACTATCCTGTACCCAGAAATGGGCGGAGCTTACACCAGAAAATGGTCGGGGATAACCCAAAATGTATTTAAGGCTGAATTGGATATGGGTTGATTAGAAGTTGCTGCATTTATAAGAAAAATATTTACAGAATTTAGCTTAAGAGCAATGTTTTTGATCACAAAAGAGTGATTAGGTTGCTATACTGGTATAGTATACTACTCGGCTCAACCCGACTATGTCGACAGGTAATTATAGAATGTAAATACTACATCAATAAATAATATCAAGAACCAGGCTGACGTTAGAGAATAAACACCTGCAAACCCTCGGGGGGTCCCAAAGGGTCTGCAGATTTACTGTGTAGCAATTTAAATAAATTAAACACATGCAAATTTGTTTATTAATGTGCAGCCCTAAAGCAGAATATAAACTGAAACAATAAGGGTCTTATAGGTCGTCATCTGTTTCACAGAAGTGTCAAAATGTCATATTCCTTAATACATCTTACATTAAATCCAATTACCACAAACTATCTCACACACAGAGAACACAAACAAAAGATTGTGTTCCAGAAGAGGATGTTTGCTGGTTGCTTTCTGAGGCCGTAAGCAAAATATAATGAAGCTGCCACGTGTGTGACTGGGTACATAGCCTAATATTTCCCCCACAACAGGTTGATCTGAACCTTTTATGCTTTCAAGCATCGTGATTGCATTACTGTATGTTTTGTTACGATGAGAGTCTTGCAGCAGCTACAATGAGGTAAAAAACCTACAGAATGATGGATACCTGATAGCTGACATGAAACTGCTAAACTGTGCTATCATTATGTCGTGTATTAACATTTTTCTTGCGCCGCGGGCTCAGCCGAGCATTTGCATTCTCTCCCCACCAAGGAGTCTTTGGTTACCTTGCTTCGGCCCGGGGCAATGTCAAACGTAAAAAAAAAAAAAAACATCTTGGGAATAAATTGCTCCCGCTTTCAATATGCAATAGGCTGCCTTCCATGACAAAAGCAATTTGTTTTGGAAATATGACCGCGGAAACCAAGCGAGGTTTACATTTAGATCACTTCTCTTAGCAACAGAGAATCTAATGATGTATAAACCCTCGGTCACAGCGTAGACTGATGCAGCCCCCCCCGATTACTTTAAGTGTAAGTCGAGTCGGGCTTGTTTTAGGTATTAAGTCATTCAGTCTGACTGCAGCTCATTTCTCACTTCCCTTCAGCTTTATGTCTGCCTCCGTTTCTGCTTAGTCATACTTTCCTCCCTTCTCTTTGAGTCTCTGTGTATCATGCTTCCACATTAGTACTTTGATGATTCCAGTCTGTGCCGCTGTGTACGTACAGGCTGAGGCTGTCATTATGATTACACATGCATCCCCCCTTTTTTCTGTTGTACACTAAATTATCTCCCAGCAGTTGGGACGTTTCATTTAAAGCTGCACTGTGCAACTCTTTTTCTTTTCTTTACTCAGACATCAAACTCCAGGTAGAAGCTAAAGATTAAGTTTTAATAGCACCCGAGACATAAAGATACAGTCTTTGATAACAATTGATATATATTCCATTTAATGGATTACGTATAATTTTAATTGTTAGGTGTTCAAATAAAAACAATAAGTGTTGCCAACTTGGCGACTTTCTTGCTATTTTTAGACCCTTTTAGCGACTTTATTTCTAATTGAGCTACTTAATCAGATCATCAGGGAAAAGAAATATATTCAAATATATTAAGTAATTTATTCCCATTTATTATCACAGTCTGTGGGTCTTCTGCCAGGAGCATAGGGGTCTCTTCCTCTCCAGGTGTACTAATATGGAAACGAAACAGATAAAGTGATGCGAGTTACTGAAACAAACTATATTCATTGTGTGCAATGAAAACAAAAGAGGGAAAGTTAATTTCGAGCCCTGATTCTGCAGCTTATGTGAATGTAGTATGGCGACTATATGTGAGCTGATCAGGTGGATTATATAACTAGCTATGTCATTTCAGTGAGTGATGATGCCAAAATAAGTATTTTCCAATGAAATCTTGCCTGGTGCAGCTTTAAAATGTTACTTATTTTATTGCTTTATGACAGATCTTTCATGTTAAGCATTTACAAAAATCTAATTTCTGTACTGAAACTGACATTACCATGTGGAGTTTTTCAGGTGAACCAACAAATTAGATCAACTGAACATATCGAAATGCATTTCCTGTCTTATAAAAACATTGTTTACATCCATGTTTTGGTAGCTAAGCAATCTTCTTATTCTTCTGCTGCATTTCCACATTTCAAAAAGGGCCAACAAATGTTGTAAATCAGGGAAACAGCATGAAACCATCAGCTAGAACATACATCGCTTCACCCGCATGCTCGTGCATGAGATGCAAACAAAACATTGCTCCACAGCGCCTCCTAGTGGTGTGGAAACTCCACAGGGCACCCTTTAACGTGGTTAATGAGCTACAGTTTCCCCCCGTTTGTCATTCTGTTGTCTGTTGGTGTGTCAATGTGCGAGCCCTCATGGTCCGTGTGTCTGTCTGTCTGACGGTCTGGTTCACTGGTTATGGTCCCTTGTGTAGGAGGGTCCCTATGTGATGCTTAAGAAGAACTGGGAGATGTTTGAGGGCAACGACCAGTACGAGGGCTACTGCGTGGACCTGGCCTCGGAGATCGCCAAACACATCGGCATCAAGTACAAAATCTCCATCGTTCCCGACGGGAAGTACGGCGCCAGGGACCCGGAGACGAAGATCTGGAACGGCATGGTCGGGGAGCTGGTGTACGGGGTAAGAACTTTTTTTTTTAATGTCTTCACTCTTAGGATGACAGGAAGTGGTTCATCTCTCCGAGCTTCCCCCCCTCCTCCTATCCCGAAGCACCATTTTGGACAGAAAATGAGCTTTTCATCGCAGCTGACTCATGTCTCATTCAAACTTTAATTCTATGCTGTCAGTAAGATTCATGATGATAATTAGAGACAATACTGTGTCTTCTTCTAATGTTAGTCCTTACAATGAATTTGGCACGGCGGCTCGGCTTGTGACAGAAAAATTGGTTTTCGGCTTTTCTTCGAGGCTGAAAATGGCCAGAAATTAGTCATCAAAGTCAACTCAAATCAAACCGTAATCAGAGAGTCCATAAAAGCTACAAGATATATTAAATACAGCAATTTGTTAGTCATTTCTTATCCTGATGTCCTAAATGATAATCATAATAAAGTCGTAAAAATTTGGGCTTGTTTAAATGCCATTATCCAATTCCAAATTGGAAAAAAATCACTATAAACTCTGAAATAAAAGTCGGTATTAAAGTTAATAAATAAATAAAGGCTGGTCTCTGACAAAAGCCAGGTAGAAGCACATGACCTATATACAACAATAACAACTCACATTGTAATTTAAAGGTCCAGTGTGAAACATTTAGGAGGATCTATTGTCAGAAATTTAATATAATATTCATTAGTATGGTTTAATTAGTGTATAATCACCTGAATGTAAGGATCATTGTGGGGTTTTAGATGTTAATTAGATAATTAGATGTTTTTATCTACAGAAGGAGAGCGGGTCCTCTTCTAGTGGCAGAGTCAGCCAAATTGAACCATCTATCTACAGTAGCCCTGAAAGGACAAACCAAACACTGGCTCTTGTCCCCTTTTCCACCGTAGTTTCTCCTACATGCTTGACAATAGATCCTCCTAAATGTTACACACTGGACCTTTAAAGCTACTGTCAGATGTTTCAAATTAAAAGCCAACAACAACCTGCTGGAAGGCTTTTATTGTGAAATATTTTCAGTAAGGTTTGAATGTTATTGACAGTAGTGTTCTCAGGTAAACATGCAGGTGTTCAGGGAGCAGCTTACTAAAAATATGATGATTTAAAAGCTGGTTCTCTCTCTGCAATTGAGATAAATAACCTCTTGTCCACTATTTAATTATTTACAGTTCGTTAAAAAAAGATGCTATAATATATAATACTCTATAAACTTTCAGTAAGCACAGTGTCTTTTCAGGGAACCATTAACATGTTACTACTACAGGCAGTTAATACACAGTCAATAAAGTTTCATAGAGACTAAATAAGAACATGAGGCTACAAAATCAAAGAATACAAGTGTTTCTCCAAATAAAGACACTTTAAACACATAATTCTCTCTCTCTTTATGTCTCTCTGTCCCTTCACTTCGATAGAAAATGTGTCTTTCCACTCCTTAATGTACAGATAATAAAATATAACCTGTGTTAATGTCTCAAAGCTCTCAGGGGCTCGCACACTGAGGTTCAAACACTCTGTATACATAAATAAAGTGTTTACAGAAGGTCTAACTGGACAGGAAGTCTCCGTACAAACAGTATTTCTTGATCTGCAGAGCTTCGCTTATTAATCTCCGTCTGAAGCGCAGCTGCTGTGTGTTGTTTG